CAGGTCTGGGATTCAAACCGCAGTCGACTACATGGAAATCCAATGATACAACCATTACACCAACTGCTGGTCCCGGGAAACTTATTTTTAGAGAAGGTAAAAATGGAAATAGCCAGATGCGTTCAGTTGGACTGTCACTTAAATGGTTGGGTGTCAGGATGTAGAACACATTTTTTTTTTTTTCCACAGAGGCTTGTAGACATTGTTGTTCTGTGTTGCCAGTCTCTAAAGTAATGAAACTGGCTCCTATGTTTTTCACTTGACAATCTCCTTTTTACTTTTATAGTCCTTTGTTTATATGCCACTTTATATTCACTAATGTGTCTCATGATATTTTAAAATCATGATGTGTGACCTCAGAAAATTTAAAGATTTTTTTTTCTAAAAGGTGTATGCACTTACAGAAGGCAGAGACAGAGAAAAGGAGAGACAATAAAAGGAAAATGAGAAATTCCTCTGGGGGATGGCCACACCACAATCCCCTCTCTTCCATTCTCTCCTTGAGAGTTTGAGCATACATGCACACACACCCAGCTTGTTTTTCAGGCTGCCATTTCCGGGACTTGAATGGCACCGCACACTACGTGAGATCTTGATGGATATTTTTTTAAATCACATAACTTGGGTAAAGAAAATGCAACCTCTGTTATAGATAGGAAAATTTGCTGTTTACCCTGCCAGTCATTCTGATTGCTGGAATCACAGGATAGCTTCCTTTCAACTGCTAAAAATATCCTCTCTAATTTGGCTATAAAGAGATTTCTAAATTACTTGTATTTCCTTTTCACATTTGGAGAGTAAATATTCTCTAGAAACTTGATAATTGCTTGTAAAATTAAAATAAAGCAAGTAATGTCTCAATGATATGACTTCCTAGGTTATTTATTTTATTTTTTTTTTTCATCCAGTGAAATAGCGAATCATCAGTTATATCTCAGGCACTCCTAGAAGACTGAAAACACTTAGCAGCCAAAGTAGAAAACTGTTTTAGGCAGGAGGTTTCCAGTCACACCTTTGATATAAATCAACCAGAAAGCCTCAGGAAACAAGACTAGAGTTTTAGCTCATTGGTTTGGAAGCATCTGGCCGCAGGCCCTAATATAGAGCTTCTCGAAAGTCAAATATGGACAGCAGGTAGTTTCAGTTGTGTCAGATCCCAGCTGGGAAGGAGAGAGGCTTCTGTTGTTGTTACGGGTAATCTGATGTTTCTGTCACTGTTGCCAGCTACAAAATCCATGTTAAATCCTTGCTCTATAGAACAGCCATGTTTTTAGAATTACCAAGGGAAGATCAGAGCTTTAAATATTCACTAATTGGATTCCACATAGATGAGCTAGTATCTATAACTTCAGCGTACCAACACAGAAGGAGAGAAAAATAAAAGCTATCTGCCTCTTCTCACATGAACAGCTTCCATTTTCCCAGAATCTACGAGAGTAGTAACAAATGCTTTTTAAGTAAGAATGGATTATTGACATTTACAACTTCTTTTTCAAGGATCTGGGTCTTTGCGTTTCTTTTTGTTTGTTTATTTAGGTCAAGGGTCCCCATCCCCATGTTCTTAGTCCGAGGGGATTCCATTTTCTTCCAAATGTATTTCATATTTCCCCATGACAGATCAAAACCTCATCCTGCGTGATCTTGAGTCTAAAATTTCGTCAAGTCCTCCTTCCCATCGAGGATTCTCTTTACTCTGAATAAACAAGTGGTGGAGTCGAAAGACATGGTGCTCTGTACGTAGTAATGGGTGCAACAAACGCTTTGCCGAGGAATTAATAGAAAGAGAGTTTAGAAATTATTCTATGTCACCATCCCTGTGATATATAAATTGTCCTTCATCCACTCCTAGACAGAACGAGTTGCTTCTCCATGCTCCCAGGAGGCAGTGTACATTCCGCTCTTACGTTTGGTACTAACGGTAGTGGAGCACGGAGGTTGGAATTTGTGCATCTCTTCCTACGTGACCCATCAAAGGTTACACAATATGTTTTTTTCTGTTTCATAGTATTCTAGCACAATTCCTGACATATCAAAAATGTTCAGGGAACCAGCAGTTAGCGTAATGGCTATGTCGCTGGACTCCCACGTAGTCGACCGCGGTTCGCATCCCAGACCCGGTGGCTTAGAACTCACGCCAGGCGCATGTGCATGCGAGCCCAAGATCCCGAGAGGAGAATGGAGGAGAAGGGATTGCAACGTGACCATCCCCCCGGGGGGTGATTTCTCACTTTCTGTCTCTCTGTCTCTCTCTGTCTGGCGAGCGCATGCACCCTATAGCAAAAACCTCTCCCCCCCAAAAAAAAAAAGTTCAGAAAAAAAAATGTTCAGTAAATGTACAGAATTTATTTATTTTACTTTAAAGGGAAATCCCAAAAGAGTTGGGTATTTAGCTGATAGTGCAAATGGTAACTGCATGCTTTCTTGAGATAGATTGCAATTATCTGAAATTTAGCCTGCAGGTGGAGTAAAATACCATATTTTCTCCTTTTCATTGCAAGAAGACTCTTATGGGCAGGTTTGCCCTGGTGCTTTGATTTTCGTGTTTGTGGGGGTCAGAAGAATATGAGTGACTGTACCTACTGATTTCTCACTATGTGCTAAGTATTACAGGGGAATAGAGAGATGCTCATCTAAGCTACTTATCTATATCACAAGGTGAATATTTAATTTAAGAAAAAATAGGCTATAAAAAATTTACTGTATCAATTAGAATTCTTCATTTAATTGGATTCTCAGCAATGTATTTTTTAAAACTAAGGTGATAACATTTTCAAATATATTCCTGCTTTTTTTTCTTTTTTAAGTGCTATAAGGCACCAGAGAGAGAGAGAGAGAGAGAGAAAGTGAGAATCACCCGGGGGGGGGGATGGTCACACCATAATCCCCTCTCCTCTATTCTCCTCTTGGGATTTTGGGCACACACTGCTGTATTTTTTAATTCAACAGATCTGGGACTTGAATTGCCTAGTCCGCCATATGGGATTCAGCTGCCTGAACCACCTTGCCACTGGTTGGCCCCTATCTTGTTATTTTAAAATCTTAAAATCCTATTTCTTATTATTAACATATAGCTCATATCAAAACATAGTTCATGTCTATTTTCTTATTCTCCATTTTATAATTCATTCACATTTTGACTTTTTTTAAAGAGAGGACAAAATGTGCACACAATTACATTTCTGCAGTCCAGCCTCATCTTTACATGATCATGAATGTGGTTATTCCCAACCTCCCTCCACCTGAATATATGTCTTATAAGTTACTATTTCCCATATTTCTTATATAGCCCTATAATTCTTTCTTCAGACAGAGTCTTACTATGATCATTAAGAATAAAAACCACGAAACCACACTTTACTTACCTGGCTGCTGCTAGAGCAGCAGCTCATTGTAGAGCTGACAACTGTTTTCCTAAGGACTAAGTGGATCCATAATAAGAAATGAGGCTTTCAGAAAGTCTTCTGCTAAGTAAACATTAAGCCCAGTCTCATAGACCTTTCATACTTAAAACAAATAGCCAGGAAAAGTTTATTCACATTGATAAGTTTATTTCAATATCGCCTATATTTCTACGGTGATGGAAATAGATAAGGATTCCCCTTTATCTATAAGTGTTGAAATTAAGAAAATTGAACAGTGATTGAAAATCAATGTGTTAAATCATTCTTTCAATTTTGAGTCTTCCAATTTTGTTCAGTTTCCTGGAACAGTCACCATAATACAATCTCACTGGACTAATAATTCAACAAGACACACAACAAGCAACTGTACGGTAACTAAAGAATGCCCATTTTTGTTTCATTTTATAATTTACACATTTCTTTTACATGATATTTAGTTCTTGCACAAAATCTAGCAACAGTTATTTCATTTTAAAGAGAAAGAGAAACTACAGCTCTTCAGTGTGTCTGACATTAAACAGTTAATAGTGGACCAACCAGTGGCGTAGAGGTTTAAAGTTGGCCTCTGGATCCCACATGGCCAACTACATGATTCAAGTCTCAGAAATGGCAGCTTGAAAGACATGTTAGGTGTATGTGAGTGCATGCCCAAAGTCCCAAGAAGAATGGAGGAAAAGAGACTGAGTTATGACTCTCCACCCCCCCCCAGGAGGTGCTTTCTATTTTCTCTCTCTCTTCTATTCTTTTTCTCTTGCTTTGTTTCTCTGTGAGGAACACACGGGCCCTATAGCAAAATTTAAAATAAAGGCCAGTAGTAGCAGATGCTTTTGATTTGAGAAAAACTGGTCTTTTTCTGTTATGTATCATTAGAGAATAATTATAAAAACCTAAAATCATGTCTCTTAAACAAACAAAGTGAATATATGTCAAAAGTTTAATGTAGGTTTTTAATTGATAAGATAACCAGTAAGATGATAGAACTGGTCCAAATATCATTTAAGAAGCTAGGTATACATAGGCAATTTAATAGATTGCTGAGTTAGATATAAAACTGGATAATGACCAATAGACCCATGAGTCAAAACTTTCGGCGTTACCAGTTCTACCCAACAAAAACTGACAAGTTAACCTTTGCCAGTGCATAATTTTAAAATAGCCCAATAAATAAAAAGTCAAGCTCAGCTCTTCTCTGAAAGGAACACCCAGCATCCTCTTCTGGTTATTCCTATGCTTCAGATAATTGTGACAGTCTGTAATAGCTGTTATCCTACAGACAGAAGAAAACTTACAGACACAGTGCTATGAATTTTCAAATAATGGGAAATTGGCTATGAAATGTTGAGAAATTACAGTACAGAGAAAACTTGGCTTGGAGGCATTAGGAATCGTAGCTATTAATTTCCAGTGAGGGAATCAAGAATGTCTGCCTAAAAGGAAGAATTGCAAATAATGCTAGGCTTGGAAAATAACAGTTACAGTCATAAACCAAAAATTTGTCTTTATGAATTCCTTTCATTTAGTATCTCACCGGGTTCCTGCTGTGTGCCAGGTAGAGTGAGTATTCAGGCAAAAACGACTCAGTCCCTGACTTACTTCCAGGTGCTCACCACACACAGGAAAATTACTTGATAGTTCTTCAACAGCGATCTGGTTGTAATAGCAAGCTCCTGTGGAAGCACAGGTTAAGCATTTGGCTCCACCTGAGTGAAGAAGTGAAAGGATTTGAGAAAACTTTCCAGAGGAAGTGGCCTGTCCTCGTGATTCAAAGGAAAATAACAGTTATACAGGAGAAGGGAAGGAAATCTGATGGAGAGCAGATGCTGGAGCTTTACGGTATTGAGTGTTGTGGAGCAGAAGCGACGGAAGGTGTACTGCGAAATGGTCAAGGAGCCACCAAGACTGGGACAAGTTAAGAGTTTCTCTGCTTTGCTGAGATTTCTTCTTCCTGCAGGCAAAGGTGGCTATTATAAGATTTTACACTGAGAACTGTAGTGGTTTAACTGGGTCTGTAGTGGCGGGATGAAGAATAAAAGGGGAGGGAATCAGAAACAGGGAGACCAGTTAGAAGGTATATGTGGTATGAGATAAGGGAGTGATGGGGCCAGCAGGTGGCATAATGGTGAAGTTGCTAGACTCCCATGTGGCCTACTGCACTTCAAGTCCTAGATCTACCCACTTGAAACTCATCCTGGGCATGTGTACATGCGTGCCCAAAATGCTGAGAGGAGACTGGGGAAGGGACTGTGGCGTGACCATCCCACCTGGGGATGGGGGTAATTCTTCACTTTTTTTCCTCTCTGATGAGTGCACACACCCTATAGCAAAAATCTCCCCTGCCCCCCACTGCCCCCCCCAAAATAGATAAGGAAGTAATAACAGATTTTTTTTTAAGTTGAATGCAAGATTCTGCTAAACATTTGGGAAGATGGTATGTCTCCTGAAAACATACACCTAAATAGCTCTCTTTCTGAACATTCTGTTTTCTTTGATGATAGAAAATAAATAGTTATCTGCTTCATGGGATGGGCACATTAGAGGAAAACCATGGTCCACTCTCCTGGGAGCCAAAGTCAGGATGCAACAGTTTCTTTGACTCCTCCCAGATCCTTGTGCAGCCCCATGAGAACCTTTGACACAACAGTTGCCTGCTCCACCCTCACTGTCTCCTCCTGTCTTCCTCCCTGACCTGAAGTAGGTACTTTTTTTTTTTTACTTACTTTTTCAAGTTTTCACACCTTGGGCTCTATAGATGATTTCTGAAAGATAGCCATCATTTGTAAAAGAGCTATACATTTAAACAAGGCAGAGGAGTTTAAGCAATTCTATTGAGCAGTTTCTTTACAATGACCCATTTCTTTCTCAGGGCCAAGGAAATTTAATCAGCTTTGAAATCCAAATGAAACCTCTAAGAACTTGCAAGGAATTCAGGTTGAAAGGCAGGGAGTCAGGGAAAAACATGTTACTTTAAACTGCCCACAGCCCTTCTCCCTACCTGAACACATCAGTGCTCCCTGACTTAGTTCCTCGCTTTCCTGCCTTGACTTTGCCTACCAAAAAGGCAATTGTTACCTTGATTGTGGTTTGCTGATTTTCTTTTCTTTCTTCTTCTTCTTCCTTTTTCTCTTTTTAAGACAGTGCTTAATGCAACAAGAATTACCCATATGTCTTATTTGACATATGCTGAGTGGAGGGATGCCCGAAAACGAAAGCACACGGACCCAGCTGAAATATAGAAATATCCCATGGGTACTAAGAACCTCAAAGATGCTCTCTAATTTTGTATCCTTCAAGACTGGAGACCTTTAATTAAGAAAGGATATAAATATAACAAGTGTGGAAGAATTCCCTGAAGTTTAAGAGAGGGACCCCAAGATTATGCCAGGATAAAAACTGTGCCTTGAAAATTCTTGATTGACTCCACTAATGAGAGGCTGAGATTTCTTCCTCATAACCCTGTGCTTGTCTCCCGATTAATTTCCTCCAGTACTTAATCTTCAGTGCATGACACTTTAACCGCTAAGCTTATTATTCTAAAAATAGTGTTCTAGCTGTACTGTCTTAGCAGATGTATGTATGAAGATCTCATTTCTACACAGATTCCTGAGTTCAACTGCTAATAGCAGACTTGCGCAAATGAAATAAACAACCATACGAACAGGGATAACTACATTTTCATCCAGCTCAATTTCCTAACTCCTATATGTAAAAAGACATTCACATATTTTCCTGCTCTGAACCCTCACTGGAATTGATAGATGTTCTTTTACGGGAACAAGGAGCAAAGTCACTATGTTTCCATCGGAGAGCGTTTGGGTATCTCTATCTACACAAACAGATCAAGGTAGCTCATTCCACACCACCCTGGGCTGTGCCTTGTCAGTGAATTTTTATGACACTTTCTAAGATAAAAATAAATTATGGAGGATTTTATCAAGACTCTAGGTTAAGAAATTCGTTATGCCAGGGGAACAAGGCAAGAGTCAGACATTGAGACAGAATCAGAGGGAACAACTTAGGCGTTTGGTAATAAGATGAGATTTATGTTTCAATTCTTCTCTCTCTTTTGGCAGTGTTCGGTGAAAGGATACACTAGAAGCCATTTCAGTTTATATAAAACCTTTGCTGGGGGAATGAGACATCCTAACACCTCAGTGTAGTCAACTGAAAGCACAGTACTAGTCATAAATGTGGTTGTTTTGTATATCAGATTTTCCTAAAATTATAACGTGATGCCTGCTATTGCCACCTGCTTGAAATACTTCCTGGGCACATTGCTCCCTCCTCACAACTGAAGATCAAATG